CCGGGGCTCCGGGGCTCCGGGGCTCCTGGGCTTGGCAGCCGGGGAGAGGGGCGCTGCCTTGGGGCTCCCTGCCGCCCCGACTCCGTCAAGAACAGCTGTTAATGCTTCATCCAACTCTTAGCCCCGTTTCTCCTAGGCGTCCGCGGTGACATCTGTTTGGGGCTCGGGCGTATCGGCGTGGTCACTGGCTTCATTGCTTTTCCCCGAACGGCCCTATTTTCATAGTATGGTCACCGTTTTCAGCCCAGCATTCCCTTGTCAAATTCTTTCAGCGATAATTTTGCCAGATTTTCTGAATGGATTAGGACAGGCCTTTCATAAATCCGTTTTGGAGTTTGCCAAGCCCTGCCCAGACGGGTGCTTTTCTATTTTCACCCCCCCGCTTTCATGCAAATCTTTAGTTGTGTCCTTTAGAATTGTCAACCTTCAGCTCCTTTTGGTTGGGAAAGATTAAACAGTTCTATTTTTAAAGACCAGTGAAGGAACATATGTATTTAATATTGGGATCATTTACCACAAGCGATCACATGAGGATTGGTTTCTTAAAGTGGCTGCAAAATAGAGAACTTTGTTGGATTTAAAAGTAATTTCAGGTAGAGGAAACGTTCAATTGCTTCTGTTGAGCTTCTCAAATGAATTGAGCACTTTATTAAGGCAGCTCATGTCATTTTGAGAACTGAAGAAATTATGTTCTTTATTGAATTTCATGAATCCTGTTTCTCCAGGAACTCAGTGTAGTATTTGGTTATTTCTGTGCAGTGTACTCCTTAGATAGGTATAGGGATTAAATTTGAATCATTAAAAAGCCTATTTTAAAAAAGAGATTTATTTATGCACACAAGAAATGGGGTATAGACCGGTGGTGTGGGGAGTAAGATTACCAGAGAGATTCGGGGAGCAGAGCAGGCAGATCTACTGAAATACACTGCTCTGGGGAGTTCCAAGGGAGTCAGGAGAGGTCAGCTGTGCCATGTGGGTCAGCTTCCTGCCCTGGACAGGATCTCACGTTGCAGAGGCTGGTGATCAGAGGCTGGTGATCGCTTGATAGCACTGTGTCTTTAACTCCTGTGTCACCAGGGAGTCCCCTAAAAAGTCTATTTTGTTTTTAATTGTTGACTAAGAGTTCAGAAATCACATTCCAAAGGAAAGCTGCAGTATGCAGAGGAAGCACTTTTGTGTACTTTTTGGTTCTTGGCTCCTCTGTGAACCTTTTTCCCAAAAACAATACTAATTTTCAATCTTTTCTTTCTCTCCCCCATGACTCCAGAGCAAGGTCTGCAATGGATGTTACATGAATCATTTTAAGGAATGCACACAGCTATGAACATTTCTGAAGCGTTTTCCTCAGTAAACTAGATAAAGATGGATGAATCTGCCTTGTTGGATCTTCTAGAGTGTCCCGTTTGTCTAGAGCGGCTTGATGCTTCTGCAAAGGTCTTGCCTTGCCAGCATACCTTTTGCAAACGATGTTTGCTGGGAATTGTCGGTTCCCGAAATGAACTCAGATGTCCCGAGTGCAGGACTCTGGTTGGCTCGGGTGTTGAGGAGCTTCCAAGTAACATCCTGCTGGTCAGACTTCTGGATGGCATCAAGCAGAGGCCTTGGAAACCTGGCCCTGGTGGGGGCAGTGGCATGAACTGCACAAGTGCTTTAAGGTCTCAGAGCAGCGCTGTGGCCAACTGTAGCTCGAAGGATCTGCAGAGCTCCCAGAGTGGACAACAGCCACGGGTGCAAGCCTGGAGCCCTCCAGTGAGGGTGAGTAGCCTGTAGAAACAGTTTGGGAATAAAGGCTTGTGGATCACATTTTTTTCTTTATTGTTTGGTTTGATTTTTCTAAATCAGTTCATTGCTAAAGAAGCCAGACATATTGGAACAGAAAGGAAATGATGCTTCATTTATTTTTTTCTTTTGAAAGGAGATTGCCTATCAAGAATTAATTTTCTTACTTTAAAAATTCTCTCCAGGTAGTCTTGATGATCTTTTAAGGTTATGTTTTAGGAAACAGGTAGCAATTATTTAATGAAATCTAAAGCAGTAGTTTTTGTGTGTGTGTTCACAGTAAAATGGAAATTTGGTAGGGTCTTACCTTTTGGATGGAGTGGGGAGAGCCTTGATTTTGTATGTATGTGTACGTATCTGTGATAAATATGTGTGTGGGTAAATCTTGAGTAGGAAATCAAACCTTAATTTCTATATTGCTTAGAGCCATTCTGTCGGTTTTATGAATGCACAGCACAGAATTTACTGGTTGGAGGGATTCTTAACAAATCATGGCCACAGGTAGTAGAATTCTGTTGCTGTGGCAACAAAATGTCATTTAGGACTACACAAGACAGCAGAGACTACCGCTTTCGTGTTGGGTTTTACAGGGAGTGCGAGATAATGTTTTCATAAAAATGGATTTATACTAAGTAATTGCTGAAGTAATTTTAAGTGAAGCTGAATATTTAAGTGAAACTAAATATTTGGACAGTTAGCACAAGTTAGACTTCTAGAGAGTATTGTGAATACTATGTTATGTTAGGGGTGATGGCACCCCAATAAGAAATACTTTTCTGAAATAACAAAATCTATTTTTAAAGAACTGGTAAATAGGATGAGAGTCCCCTCCCCCCTTGCGCCCCCCCCCCCAACCCTCCGAAATTTCTAGTAAACTCTCCAAACTGAGGACTGAAGATTGGAAGACCTGCCCACCCAGTGAGCCGTCCTAGGACACTGCATCTTCCAGGTGTGGCAGACAGCTGTGGCTGTGCCTGCCTTAGCTCAGTCCCTCACTTCCCTCCTAAGCGCAGCTTTGACAAATAATGCAATGGATTAGATGTAAAGTCTGTCAAGCCCTAGAAAAATTTCATCCCTGAGCCTTCTCTGATCCTTTTGATTCATATTTAATTTTTTCAAGAGAGCAAAAATCTTGAGTTGGGAAGGATTCTCTGTATTTGTAGCCCACGTGTTGTGAGAGATTGGTCTACTTTAGATGCTTTGCGCAGAATGCCTTTATTTTATGGGGTTTTACTGGTTGCTTCATTGGTCTAGGTGGACTCATGAATATTTTAACCTCAGAATCAGTGATCAGGTTGATAATTTCTGAATCACCTGACTCAGGTTACTTAGTTTAATGAAGGAGTAGATGTGTTTTCTTTGGAGAGATTTTCTTTCCTTGTTAATTAACTAGAGAAAGCATAGCTTCTGGCTGTGAATAGAAGTAGCCTGGCTGTTGAGGTATTGCCTCACCTGTTGTGAGGAATGCACTGAATGTTTGATTACTGATAAGAAAGAATTGAAGGAGAGGCCTCAAAAATTCAACTACTTCATGTTCTTTGAATTTGAATTTTAACTTTTTCTTTGAATATGGAAATTGACTCAGCGATGCTGTAATATTCACTTATTTGGAAGGCTAAGCTCTCAAAATCGAGCTTCATTTTTCTTAGGTAAGTTATTTTTGAGATTTGTGATCACATCAATATTCTTTTCCTAGCTATATGATTTTCCTAATTACCTCATGTTTCTTAATTTAGTGTGAGAAGAACTACTTGCCAAGAAGTCCAGCTGAACTTCTTGAACTTTTATAATTTGGATAAAATAGTTGCTGTCAAGAAAAGACTGAATATTGGTACAGAGTAGAGGACAAATAGCAGAATTGCTCAGTAATCTGAGGTTGAATAAAGTACTTATAAAATGAACAGTTTTTTTTTTCCCCTACTCTAAATAATTTCTCAAGAGCAGTGCTTGGTTTTTTATATTTTACTTTGAAGAATTTAAAACAACCAGTGCTATACAAATATCCCATGCATCTGAAAATTAAAAGTTAAAAAAACACTGATTTTAAAAGTCAGAAATTTGTAACAAGCAGCCATGTGGAGGTTGTAACGCGCTCCTCGGGATGCTTCTCTGAACTGAGTGACCGTAATAAATCCCAAACGTGCATCCTCTTCCTTTAGATGTTCTGACACCACCAAGTGGTGCTTGAGCTGGTTTCCACATGTTGCGCGAAGCTGAAAGTGATAACATGTGGAATGTTGCTTCGGTTTATTAGTTATGTTCTATGTTCCATTAGAGGCTGGCCATGTGGCTTCCTCATGCGTTCAGCTGAGGTAGATTGTTATCAGCACAGAGGAACATTTCTAACGTGGGACACACATCTTGTTCCCAGAATTTTTGTGTTTCCTGCCTGAAATGAAAATGTGTTGGATTGGAGTCACCGTGGGAGTCTATTCAAGAATTCTTGTTGGTTTTAGGTCAAAGTTAAGCAGTGAAATGAGCCACAGGGACAGCCCTCATACTGCTGACACCTGTTTCAGTGGACTAAAAGTGTACCTACAGAAGATAGAACATTTATATGCATTATATATACATATGCAAAACTAGATGTGGAAGGAATATTTAAGTAACTCCTGTAGATTGTGACCTAACTTAGTGAGGTGTGTGGTTTCATTTCTTTAAGATTTATTAATATTTGTGAATATTTCTCTCTATATATAATTATTTAATGATTTCCTTCTACCTTATTCAGCAAAAGTTAATCACATGACAACTTTCACATGAATTTACAGTTTACTCATTCTTCTCTTTGCCTAACATTTATTTATTAAAAATTTTATTTATTTATGCATGGAAGAACTGGGGTGTAGGCCAGAGTTGGGAGGGGGGTTTGGGAGGTGGATAGAGAATGTTGAGAGGATTCACCAAGACCAGAATGAGGAGCAGAACAGGTGGATCTACTGTTCTAGACTGCTGAGGGGAGTGGTAAAAGAGACAGGAGAGGTCTGCTGTGCCACATGTGGATTAGCCCCCTGGCCAAGATTGAACTCAGACAGCAGTGGCAATAGCATGATGGTGCTTCAGACTTAACCCCTATGCTACCAGGGAGGCCCTAACATTTATTTAGCACTTACTAGGTACCAGTCACTGCCCTAGCTGCGAGGTAGATAGTAAACTAGATACAGATCTGCTTATAAATGTGACTACATGATCAGTCTCATGGGTGGGTGAGACACATGTTGACAACATGCTAACAATGCAGGCTTAAATATGATGGATGTGACAGAGAGGGGTGGAGAGAAGCACCTGTGTTTATTGTGAGGGCGTTTGGATGTGTGGTATGTGCTTGTGTGTGTGTGTGGCCTTCAAAAGCTTCCTTGAGGAAGGAGCATTTGAGCTGAGATTTTTTTTTCTTTCCAAAGATTTATTTGTGCATACAGAACTGGGGTACAGTTCAGAGGTGCAGGGGTGGGGTTGATAGAATTCACCAGAGAAAGAGTGGGGAGCAGAACAGGCAGATCGACGAAGCACACTGCTGAGGGGAGCAGCAGGCAGGTCAGCAGAGGTCTGCCGTGCCATGTGGGTCAGCTCCGGGGCAGGCGGGGATTGAACTCATGCGGAAGTGGCTTTAGCTTCTTAGTTCTGTGCTCTAACCCGCTGCGCCACCAGGGAGGGACCTGAGTTGAGATCTTAAGAGTGAAATGATAACGAGTTAGTTGAGATGGCTTGGGCAGAGGCTGAGGAGAAAGAGGATTCCAAACGCCCTGACCTAAGGTGGGACTGGGCATGGTGTGGACTGAGCAGTTGCTGGCCACAGTACCATCATGCGCAAGGCGTCCAGAGCCCTCTGCAGGCCGTGGAGTACTAGGGGGCGGCTGAGGGGTGCAGCTGGCAAGAGCTGTGCATTCGAGCTTAGAAAAATGGGGTGACAGTTTGGACGCTTGGATGTGAGAGCCAGGAAGGAAAAGTCAAAATGCGGAATTCCAGGGATGAGAAAAAACAGGTGACTTTCCTTTCTGTAGGTGCTTTGTCTGCTTTCATTTCTCCATAGTCACATGCACACCTCCCTTCTGTCTTGTTATGTGCCCCCAAATTCGGAAGTTACTACACTCCTATCTCTGCTGCCTCCGAGTGGGACTGTATTGGGGGGTAGCACCTCTAGATGGTGACTAAGGTGAGCAGTCACTAGGGCAGGCCCTAAGCTGCACAGTGAGGGAGTTCTGCTGAGAGAGGAGATTCACGTACAGATACAGGGAGTGTTACAGGGCACCCCAGTGTGAACTGCATTGCCTGTCTGTGGGCCCTCACCCCCAGCCCGTAACGCTTAAAATTTAGTTGTATTGCAGGCACACACAAAAGGGTCAATAATGGGTTTATTTAGGAAGAGGAGAAAGGAAAAGGAACAATCCAGGGAAAGAAGAGAGATACAAGGTAACTAGAATATCTTACCAGCTAGGCTGACTTGTAGCTCTGGTAACAAACTAACTGATAGCCCCCAGTCACATGGTCCTGAGAGCCATTGCCCAAGCAAGAGAGCCAGGGGACTGCTTAGCTCTGCCCTTGAGTCCTCACAGTTCTTTCCTTAGTGCTGCTGGGAGTCGTAGTTTCTAGTCACTGGAGTAGGGGGCAGCGTGCACCAAACTCTGCAGAGTTCCTGTGGGACATCCTTTCCCCTTAACAGGAGGACTCATGAAGATACCCAGGCCAAACAGCAGCTGCAGGCCCAGGAGAGAGGCCTCAGGAGAAAGCAGCCTGCATCGGGCCATAGAATTTTAGCCTCTGGAACCAAGGAAATACATGTCTTCTGTTAAAGCCAGCCACTCTGTGGTACTTGGCACAGCAGCCCAGCCTGGATTCGCCATAAGCCTGCAGGGGTCCCGTCTTCTGTGTTCTTCACTGTGTAACACAGCACCATCCCTGCGTCCTTCAGTCCCTTCCCAGCTCCTCAGGTGGCCTAGCGAAGTTTCCTAAATTGCAGTATACCAGATACAACAGAT